AAATATCATGTTATGAATTTTATCACACTTGTGCTTTGGAGGCTTATGCATAATATTACTTCACCAACTTGTACCTCCATATCCAGTATTCTAAGATTCTATCTAATCTTTAGGAATCATATTGGGCTTGCTTGAATCATCATCTTTATCAAAAACATATCATGGGCATGTAGGGAAATGTTTCACATTGTCACCAACGTCTTAAATTCACTTTGTCCTTAATTCATCTTGAATGATGTTGACTTGAATGCAGTTGACTTGAATCATCATCAAAATCATCTCTTAGGAATGTACGGACATTTCCATCAATCTCCCCCTCATTGCTTTTAATCTCCCTCTTTTTGATGATGATCAAGGAAACACCCAAAATGAATTAAAATGTTTGACTCTATATAGTCAGCTCAAGATTAGCACAATATAGTATCACGTGTCAGAGTCTCTTAATCTCCCCCTGGATATATTAATAACAAGACTCCCCCTAACTCATATGAGCAAAAACCTCTCTTAACTCCTTTTGTTTAATTTAGAGATAGGAATGAATTTCACATAGATTTTAATTCATCAAAAAATCTCCCCCTGTTTCATTAATAATCATAAAAAATATTATAAGAGAAAAAAAATCTCCCCCTGTTTCACACAAATTAATATCATTAAACTATTTCCCTATTTCATTGATAATTATGAAAAATATTGCAATAAAAATTGAGAACAAATGTGCACATATTAGTACATAAATCAAGGTAGAGAAAAACATCATATTAAGGAGACAATATCTAGGATACCAAGACAAATGAAGAGAGAGAAAGATAGGAGAATAAAATGATCGTAGAGATAATAGAATGAAATGCGGTAGTTTCTCCTAATTGCGATCTTCTTATTTAGGCAACTTTCAAATTTAAATTCACTCTTATTCTAGATTTCAAATTCAAATTGCAACAAATTTCAAATTTCAATTCCGATTCAAATTCAAAAATCTCAAACTCGCAAAAATTTCAAATTTCAAAATCTCAAACTGCAAAATTTAAAATTACAAAATTTCAAATTTCAAAAATCTCAAACTACAAAATTTCAAAAAAAATTCAAATTTCAAAAAAATTCAAATTTTCATAAATTCAGATTTTCAAAATTCAAACTTTCAAATTTCAAGCTTTAATAATTTCAAATTTTCATAAATTCATATTTTTAAAATTCAAACTATCAAAATTCAAACTTTAATAATTTCAAATTTTTATAAATTCGATTTTCAAAATTCAAACTTTCAAATTTCAAAGTTGGTCAACAATCGAATTTATGTGACGGATAAGTGCAGATATTCAATATAGAGGCTTGAGAGACAATCATAAACTTATCTTTGTAATATTTCGTTGTTCATCTAGCTTGTTCCTGTACACCCATTTAGCTTTAATAACCTGCATTAATTTCTTATCCTTGATAATTACCTGCAACATCAACATACAAATCTAGGTACCCTTTAATTATTTTTGGGTCCTTAAAAAGGTTAGTAGAATCACAAGTCTTTGCCAAAAGACTAAGGATTAAAAGAATATAATCATGATATAATAATCGATTATCACAACACCTTCAGAATCAACATAATTGATTATGACAATAAGAAAAAAATTTCCAATTCTGATAATCAATTAGATGCTCAAACTATCATCTAGACATGTATAAATGTTTTGTTTCTTTAGGCTCCCATTCATATTTGTCATTAGATATGCCAAAATGTTTTATGTAACATCTATTTGATGCATGACCTATTTTCATGCAATAAAAACATGTTGGTTTTCTTTGAAAAGGTCTAAATGAGTTTCTTAAAGTTTTTGAAACTGGTTTCACATCTGTTTTCCTTGACTCTTTCACAAAAATAGTTTTATGAGGTTCTAGACTTTCTTTGGATTTGTAACCGAGTCCAGTTTTGCTAGAATTCCCTCTTTGATAACCTAATATAGAATCAAGATTTTCAGAAGATTTTGAAAACTTGCCTATTATTTTCTCTAACTTGAAAATCTCATTTTCCAAATGATTACATTTTTCACATGGTTTAACAACTTCTTTATTTTTAAACAAAGTTTTAAATTTCTCAACATCTTTCTTTAAACACTCATTTTATTTTTCAAGAATACCAACAATATTTTCTAATGCATTAAACATTTGTCGAAGTGCATTGTATTTCTTAAATAACTTGGTAAAAGCTTCATACATATCTTGATATTATTTAAACAACTCATCATATTCATTTAAGGATTTTGTACTACTTACCTGTGATGAGACTTCATCATCACTTTTTGTCATCAAGCAAAGATTTGTTTCTTCTTCTTCATCACTGCTTTCGAAAGAACTCTTTTGTGTTGTAGAAGAATCATTATCCTCCCAAGCAATAAAAGTTTTACGTTTGTTCTTATAGATACTGTTTTTCCCTTTCTTCAGATCTTTCTTAAGTTCCGGACAGTCTGGTTTGATATGGTCAAGTTTTCCACATTCATAGCAATGATATTTATTTGTTTTCTCCTTTCTTTGCTGTCTTTTTTTCCTGTTCTTCATAAAGCGAGAAAATTGTTTAACAAAAAGAGACATATCGGAGTCCAAAAACTTACCTTTATTTTCGCTTTCGTCTTGTGAAGATTTTTATGCTTTCAGAGCTATCGTCTTGGTTTGATTTTGGTCATCGTTCTTTAACCTTTGTAGCTCTATCTCATGTTCTTGCAACTTTCCAAATAGAGTAGCAATATTCATTTCTGTGAGATCCTTTGATTCTGTAATAGTAGTGACATTTGTTGTCAGTTCCTATCTAAGGATTTCAAGATCTTTGTGTTCAACTACTCATTGTCAAAACTCTTTCTTTCCTAATGCTTTCAAGTGATTTACTATATGTGTGAAGCGTGTCTGGAAATCCGTGATGCTTTCATTTTGCTGCATTTGAAATAATTCATACTCCTGGATGAGTGTGTTCTTACGTGCTCGCTTTACTTCATTTGTTCCTTCATGTGTTACTTTAAGAGTGACTCATATTTCTTTTGCCGTCTTGCATTGTGAGACCCTGAAAAATTCATTACGAGTTAAGGCAGAAACAATAGTATTTCAGGCTCTTACATCATAATGGGCACACTTATTTTCATTCGGCGTCCATTGGTCAAAAGTCTTTGGAACAACTCCAGATTCTGTTGTTCTCATCGGAATGTAGGGACCATTGAGTACAACATCCCAAACACCATAATCTAGTGTTTGTAAAAATATTTCCATTCTTGCTTTCAAAAACTGATAATCTTCTCCTTCAAATAATGGTGGTCTGTTTATTGAGGCTCCTTCCTCGTAAACTTGATTCTGCATAGACATCTTGACAGATCGTTTAGAAATATCTTATTTAACCAAGCTATGATACCACTTGTTAGACAAATGACATATAGAGGGGGTGAATAGATGCACAAATTTTAATAGATGTCAAATTAAAAATTTATTTGTGAGTCAATAATTTGTTTGAACACACATAAAACAGAATTGATAATATAATCAGGAAAAGAGAAAGAGATAAGGGAAAGAGAAGAGCACACAGTAATTTATACTGGTTCGGGTATAACCAACCCTACATTCAGTTCTCAGTCAACTCTTAACACAAGAGTGACTCTCAATTCATTATCTTTCAAATTCAGTTTACAAATTACAATCAACTCAGCAGAAGAATCAGTAAAAAGTAAACTAATTAAAAAGACAACCACCTCCTTAGAAACCCACTAAGGATGAACACCTCCCTAGAATCTCACTAGGGATGAACACCTTCTCTGAACAAATCAAAGGATGAAAAACACCTCTTTAGAATCTCACTAAGAATGAATACTACTCTAGAATCACACTAGAAATGAAAACTTCCTTTGAACAAATCAAAGGATGAAAACACCTCCTTAAAATCTCACTAAGGATGAACACCTCCCTAGAATCACACTAGAGATGAAAAACACCTCCTTTGCCACCAATACACAAATGATGAAGGTAATAAAAATAAGAACAGTCACACCTAGGTAATGGAAACAACAAATTGTAGAAGTCTGTAGAATGCAAATCTCCAAGAACAAGTGTGATTAACAATGAGAGCACAGAAGGCAGTAGAGAAGAGGGTTTTCTCAGAAGGTGTAAAATATCTCTGTTGTCTTTCTCAGAATTCTTTTCTCAAAACTAATTAAATGTAAATTGTATTTTCGAATTATGTTATTGTCTGTTTTTGATTTTTCATCAAAACTTAATTAAATAGAAAAATAGCATCGAGAAAATGGTCGTTGGACATTAATAATATCATAGAGAAAATCGGGATATATTCAAAAATATTTATTCTTTAAAACAGATATATTTTTCAAATTTGAATTGGCATAATTGATTATGTTACCGGTATAATCAATTATGACAGAGAAAATCATTTTTTCATTTCTGATGCATCATAATTGATTATGACAGGAAAAATTATCACGTTATCAATTTTATCACACTTGTGTTTTGGAGGCTTATGCATAATATTACTTCATCAACTTATACATCCATATCCAGTATTCTAAGACTCTATCTAGTCTTTAAGAATCATCTTGGGCTTGCTTGAATCATCATCTTTATAAAAAATATATCTTGGGCATATAGGGAAATGTTTCACATTGTCACCAATGTTTAAATTCAGTTTGTCTTTAATTCATCTTGAATGGTGTTGACTTGAATGTAGTTGACTTGAATCATCATCAAAATCATCTTTAGGGAATGTACGGACATTTTCATCAATCTCCCTCTCATTGCTTTCAATGTTATATGAAATTACAGAGGAGCTACATGAAGATACACACTGGTTTATCAACACAGAAGAAAAAAAGGAAAAGATCAGGAAGATTATACAGTATAAAAAATCTCTGTATAGGTCATCAACATCATCTTCTTTTTCATCTTCAACTGGATCCTGATCTTCCTTTTCCTCACCCCATAAATCAGGCAGTTTGTTGAAGTTGATGAAAGGAGGAAGCACATCCATGAGGAGATTATTTGACATGGAGCACACAAGTTTGGCAACTCATTTTGACTTCTACAGTGGCTCACCAATAACCAAGCCAATAACTCTGTGGAAAAGTGATTCTGAACATGATTTCCAGGATCCTTGGGCCTTGATCAAGGAGGTTGGACCCACCCGTTTTGTTGGAACTGATAGAGAAAGTAAGTTAGCCTCAAAGGGTTGTTATGTGAATGGAGATTTTGGCTCCCCAATAGAAATCTCGAGTAGCAAGCGAAAATTGACAAGGAAAAAGTCTTTAGGAGGTTGCCAGGATTTGGTTTGTGGAGATGTGGAAGATTTAGATTCCCTTTGAGATTTAGAAGGCTTAAAGTTAGAATTTGGGGTAGACTAATCAGATAGAGCATCCAATTGTCGTTGAATTTTGAGCTTCATTGGAAATTTGGAATGGTCATGTGGATAAACTCTTGTCTTCAAATAGTTTTCCTTCAAAACTTGTTGAGCTACGTGATTTACATCAAGTGTTCAATGAGAAGAGTAATAAAGCACGTTGTGGAGAGAAACTCATAGCTTGGCCGGCGACACAAAACACTAATCAGAGTCCAGATACTTGCAAATGACAATGATCAGATAGAAGTCTAGCTATGACTTTTCCTTCTTCAATCTTTAGTTTCCTACTTTCTCTGTTCCATTGATGCACCCCATAAGTCTCATTACTAAAACCCATTTTGATTCACCTAGTTTTGGGCTTCCTAAATGACCCCCAATCTTTTTCCAATCTGCTGGATAAAAGGACAAAGGAGTCAAGCTAATAAAGTTGAAGTCTGACCTTGACTATTAATTTTGGGAAACTGTTAAGGTTCCAACATAAAACCAATTGACAATATGTGAAGTAATCTAACATGTATTTAAACCATACCAAATGACATGAGGTAGACGATGTGAGACTTTCAACACACTCCCTCCAACGAAGCCTGTCGGATCAGGCAAAGGGTACTTTTGACCCAACTAAAGGGCAACTTTTGGCCCATGACAATAACCGGAAAGATATTAGACTTTGGCTCTGATACCATGTTAAGGTTCCAACATAAAATCAATTGGTAATATGTGGAGTAACCTAACATGTATTTAAACCATATCAAATGACATAAGGTAGGCGATGTGAGACTTTCAACAGAAACAAAGTAATATATTATCAATAAATAATAAATAAATATAAATAAAATATGAGATGATAAAATTATAAATATACAAACAAAAATATTAAATAATCATTATGTTTGAAGGACCAAAATCATAGATATACATCAAAGTTACAAAATTTGTCACTGCATGTAAGGACCATTATGCCCCCATTTGTTCCCATTAAAAGCTAAAACAAGTTCATTACTGAATCTAAGAAGAAGTGGATGATTCATGTCAAATCTCAGGACTGCATTGTTTAGTCTAGTCCAATGCTTATTCCTAGAGGCCATGCTTTGTGCTGCAATAGAATTCCTCAACCCAGCTGAAGGTTTCAAGACTACAAAAGATGTGTCTAGGTACACACCACCATTTTTGTACAGATCTGCAAGTCTGATCAAGTCAGATAAGTTCTGAAACAGAGAAATCTCACCAGGGCTCTTCTTTCCTTTACTCAACTCATTCAACCACGCTTCAGCTGGAGTCCCTTTGGACAGAATTGGGAAGTCTGGGGTCACTGCCTAAATTCTGAACCTCCCATCAAGAAGTGGCTTCAGGATCTATAACCATGAACGGAGTCCAAAGTCCTTGACAGAATCACCAAACATGCCTTGGGATGCACCTTGAAAAGACTCTCTATAGACAACAATTCTCTTGCTTCATATGAGCCTGCATGGCACTCCCACGTCATGAAAAATGGAGACTCACATTCATGGCTGAAAAATCCCAGAACCCGAGCATGGAATTGCCTACTCAATTTATCTGCATGGAACTCGTGAAGCTTCCCTTTAAACCAAACATTTTTTTCTTCTTCAGTTGCATTAATTGGAGCAACTAGCACTACATGATTTTCTTTACCAACTCCTTCATTCTCTTCTTGCATGGAACGTAATGGGTAAGTGTTAGAAGAAGAGTTGCCTTTATGCCCTCTCCATTTCTGTGAGTCCGAGCTTCCAACATTTCTAGTGCTCCTTTGCTTGCAGAAAGGTGTAAGGAATCCTGGTAACTAAAATCATCACAAAGGATGAGAAAAATTATGGCTGACAAATATTAGATAGAAGATAGCTATCTTGGCACGTTTAAGAACTCAGTGATCAAATATTTTGTCGAAGTTAAAATTCTTTTGTGAGAATTGCAATCGGAAAGAACATATGCAGAAGAGCATGCACTAAGGTGCCTACCCTCACACTGGACATGGAAGACTTTGACTTCTACACGTGATGCACATAGGATGTTAAAAATGAATATCAAATAATAATATTCTTTGATGAAGTTTTGGGGAAGGTCTCCGCTGTTGGTTTTTCTTTGAAGCATTCAAAGTGTTTAGGTGGATGTCAAATTTCCACAACTCAACGCCATGACATAAAGTTTATGATTTATTATATGGTCAAATGTTTTTACCAGCTTCAAAATCTGACAGAATTGTATCTGAATGTCAACAACTTTTCAGATAGAATCCCATTCTCCAGGGGAAATTTGTCTGTATTAATAAAACTCTTTCTGAAGGAAAACAACTTTGAGGGAAGCATCCCTTCTAGTCATGGAAACTGCCAAAATTTATTGGTACTAAGCCTTTATAAAAACAAAACTAGTGGCACCATATCAGAAGAAGTTATTGGCGTTTCTTTACTAAAATAAAATTGGATGTATCTCATAATGCTCTCTCAAAGACTCTTTGAGCCCAAGTGATTAAGCCACATAATTAGAGAGTTGGTGCCATATGAGAACAACTTTTAGGGAGTCATACCATCTACGTGTGGTAGATTTATTACCTTGGAAAACCTGTATTTGGATGGAAATTCTTTTGAGGGAAACATCCCTCAAACGTGAAAGAATTTGAGAGGTTTATTTAACATAGATCTTACACGAAATAACTTGTTTGGTATGATTGCTGAGTTTTCTGGGGAGTTCACCGAGCTCAAGCATCTAAATCTGTCATACAATAATTTTGAATAATACTTGATTATAGACATGAGGTAAAAACATCTCACAAAATGACAGAAGTATGAACCCTTCAAACATCAATGTAGTCAATGGCACACATTCTTCACTCAGAAATGAAGCCAAATAATCTTGTTGTTTTTACAACAAAATCTTAGATATATATATATATATATATATATATATATATATATATATATATATATATATATATATGTATATATATATATATATATATAGATAAAGAATGCAAGGTAACTAATTTAATGATAGACAACTAATGAACTTACTTGAGTACCATGATATCATGCTGCTGAAAACAAACGCTATTGTGCAACAAATAATTTTAGTTCTGGATGATCGATATTCAGCTTCATCAGGAACTCCTGGCATCTGACTGTTGTTCCGCTTGATGTATGTTCACTATGTTGTGAAAATTTTGGAAGAACCTTCTCTACATCAAGATAACTTGGCATGAGACAAAGGCAAGCTAAGATGGTGTTTGTTATTTTAGAGTTCAGAACAACATCCTTATGCGCCATTTCATGAAGCAAGGAAATGATTTTTTCTGTCTCTCCCTTTAAACCATGGCCAGTTAGCAAAGAATCAAATACCACAACATTCGGTACATGTCCACACGAGACCATTTTCTCATAGAGGGACATGGCCTCATCCAACAGTCCAAGTTTTGAGAACCTTTTTATTAATATAGAAAAGGTTACAGCAGAAGGGGCCAAATCCATGTTAAGCATCTCCAACAGCAATTCCTTGGCATGTTTAAGATATCCGGCTTTGAGAGTTCCATCAATTATTATATTAAAGGAGACAACATTAACATCATGATTCACATTTCTCATTTCTTGAAATAGACTCCTAGCCTGCTCTAAACGATTTTCCCTGCACAAGGATGCCATTAGTGCATTGTAATCAACTACTGTTGGTCTAATCCCAGAATTTTTCATTTTAATAAAAAGTCCTCTTGCAAGACTCAGCATCTGCATCTTGCACAAACCAATCATCAAAACTCTGTATGTCATTGAATTGGGAGAAATTCCAGAGTCTAGTGCACATGTCCAGAGTTCCAAAGCCTTAATAAGTTCCCGGGCACTTAGATAACCCTCAATCAAAACATTATAAGTTACTATGTTACCTAGGCACCCCATTTCAACCATAGTGGAATGGACCCTTATAGCATCATGAAGACGTCCTTCCTTGCCAAGTCCCTGAATTAAATAATTATACGTGAAGACATTAGGCTTCATATGGAACCTGTCGCTCACCAACAGCTTCCAAAGATCCATCGCCTCATCAACTTTGCCAGATCCACACAGCCCTTTCATCAACGTACTATACGTAACCACGTCAGGCTTCTTCCCCTTCTTCGACATCATTTCCACAATCCTATACGCATCGTCCACCCGATCCTCCTTACAAAACCCATTGACAACAACATTGTAAGTAAAAGCATTTGGCTCCTCCCCCTTCTGCTCCATCAAATCCAACACCTTAATTGCATCCTCCGCCCTACCATTCTTGCAAAGCCCGTCAGCCAAAACTGTGTAAGTAACAACATCCGGCCGAACTCCTCGTGCCATCATGTCCTTCAACATATCAGACGCCTCTTTCCACCGACCAATCTTGCTAAGACCTTGCATCAAACAGTTATATGTAACCACGTTGGGACTAACCTTCTTCTTCGACATCTCATCAAACAGTTCCTTCCCCCTCTCAACATCACCCTTGGCACAAAAGACACTAATTAGAGAACTATACAGAAACACACCAGCTTTCAACCCCTCTCTCTCCATCTCCTCCAACAAAACCAACCCCTCACAAACTTCACCATTCTTACAAAGATAATCAATCAAAACACTATATGTCACCAAATTGGGTTTGTTCTCCCCAACCTTCATCGCCTCAAACAAAGCCCTAGCTTCTACGAATCTCTTAGCTTTACACAATCCACTTATAAGGGTATTATAGGTAAAACTATCAGGAACCACACAATCGTTATTTTTCTTCATCTGAGAAAACAAATCCATTGCCTTGTCGCATTGACCACTCTGGCAAAAACTCTTCAACACAAGGTTGAAATTATAGACTTCAACCACAAAACCGTGTTTTATAATTAGGCCAAGGACCCCAAAAGCGGAACTTGGGTAGTGGGTGTTGACGAAACTTTCCATTAACGCCCCGAGTGAACTGAAACTGGGAGAAATGCTCGTGGAGACCATCTTTCGGTATACCGACACGACAGCGCCGTAGCGTCGTGCCTTGAGGAGGTTGTAGATGAGGGAGTTGCAAGCTGATTGGGAGGGAGGTGAATTGGGGTGGTAGGTGGCGCTGTTAGAGAGGGAAACAACGTCGGATAGTGGGTGAGGAGTGTGGGAGATTGAAGCAGAATGGAAGGGATAAAATGAGATGGAAGATGAAGGCAGGGAAAGAGAAGGGTTAAGGAGGCGCTTGGGCGTCATTATTGGTTTCAAGGTTTGTAATTCGTTTTACAGGTAAAGGAGTTTACAGGTGACTTTTTTCATTATTTTTTAATGTGGCACGACTAATTTAATTAAGGTTTAAACATAATTTCAATATTTTTGTCTCTTCAACAGTACTAAAAACAGTTAAAAAACATCTTTTTACATGTTACTTAGATAATTATAAGTAAATATTATAAATTTTATGTTTATTTATATTTTTAGTCCTTAAAATTATAAGAAAAACTTATTTTCTCCTTTTAAATTTAATCTAATTTTAATTCTTAAACACAAAATTAAAAAAATTAAAAATAGTTTTAATTTTTTTTAATTCTTCAATTTATTATTTAAAGATTAAAATTATATTTTTCAATTTTAAAAAATTAAAATAATTTTAAAATTTTAAATATGGATGGTTCAAGATTTCAATAAGCTTAAGTTTTAACTTTGTAACCATATTATTTATTTTTTTATTACTAATCTTCTTAAAAAAATATCATACGAATATTTTAAAATATATACTATAAACCATCTAAATAATAATATGATTAGAGATGAAGAAAAATTAATAAAAATATAACGTGTAATAATTATAGAATGATAATATAATATGTTTATAATGTTATAATAATTATAAGAAGGTAAGTGTTGAACTTAAAATTAAAATTATCTAACCTAAAAATATGCTAACTAAAATAATTAAGATAATATGAGTAGAAAAAAAGTAAATTTACTTAATTTATATTTAAAAAGTTTTTTTACCTTTATATAAAACAAATGTCCTTATATAAAACAAATGTCCTTTAAAATAATAGCAAATTATACACTCAAGTCATATTTAATGTTTTATTTATTTATTTATGGGATTCAATTTTATATTGATAAATTTTGAAGTTTATATATCAATAAAAATATTTAAGAGAAGTTAAAGTGATGAAGATCTTATTGAATTACTTAAAAAAATCTTGTTGATTTGATGAAGTCAAAATGAAATCAAAGCTACTATGTTGCATGATCAAATATCACTTAGATAAAAGGGTAGAGTGATTTGTGAGTCTGCATCTTTACTTAGGTATAATCATTTTTATCTCTCTCATTTACATGAGGTTTCTTCATTTAAAAGATTTTGCAAATGTCTCTAAAACATGTTTAAACTGTTAAAAACAAAGTATTTTGTTAAAAGGTTTTTAAGTAACTATTTTAACTAAAATGTATGCTGTTAAAAGTATATGAGTTTTATCAACTAAAATGTTCTTAACACTTTTGTTACAGGTTTTTAACTGATATGTTTTCGAAATAATCGATTGTTTTCATTAGAAGGATTATTGAAAACCTTCGCCAAGTATTTTAACTAATATAGAACTGATATAATCGATTAAAATGATTTAGAATATTTTGAAAAGAGTTACGCAGAATTTTAATCGATACAAACTCGAAATAATCGATTAAAATAACTTAAAGTGTTTTGAAAGTTGTTACGTCGAGTATTTTAATCGATACAAATGCGAAATAATCAATTAAAACAACTAAGAGTTTTTTCCGAATGTTTTAATCGATTAAAACAAGTATGTTATCATTTAAAATAACTTAGAAAGTTTTATAAAATCTTTTGGCGTAATTCTAATCGATTAAAATGCGTTTCAATCGATTAAAATAACTAAGTGAACTTTTTCCAAAGTGTTTTAATCGATTAAAACATATTGTTATCGATTAAAATCACTTAGAAAGTTTTATGAAAACCTTTAGCATTATTTTAATCAATTAAAAGACGAAACAATCGATTAAAACAATTTTACAAAATGTTTTAATTGATATAAACGTTGTCGTATCGGTTAAAACAAATATGAAAAATAATCAAGAACATTTTAAAAGATTAAAAGAAGTTTTAACAGATTAAAACAAGACTTTTAACAGATTAAAAAATTATTTTAACATATTAAATAAACCAGCAGTTTGGAAAATCTTCTATATAAACAGAGTTGCTTGAACATTTTAAAAGACATCTTTTGGCAATCAATCAAGCAATCATAAGTGCTACTTTCAAGAGAGGATCACACTAGTTTTGTGAAGTTCTTAGAAGTTCTTTCTTGAGGCAAAATTTGCATTCTTTTGGAGAAGAAACTCATTCTGCAGAGCTACATAAACCTGGTTTGGGTGTTCTAGTTTCTTCTCTTTGTTTCTTTACTTTTCTTTTCTGTATTGTGGGTGCCTGGAAGTGTGGGCACTGGTTTCTGTGGCTGGAATTTGGCTGCAGGGTTGTTCAAGAACTGGAAATTGGTTCTTGGTGAAGGTTTAGGTGCAAGGACTGAAATTTTGGTTCTTGTGGTAGATTGAGTGTGTGATTGAAGTTGTAATCTGTAAAACGTTCAATCTAGTGGAACCTATTGGAATTTGACTCGAAACTGGACGTAGCCCTAGGATTGGGTGAACCAAGTATAAATCTTGGTTGTATCTTTCTAAACCTTTCTCTCTCTAATTTTGTCACTGCCTTTACTTTGATTGTATGCTGTGTTTGATTCAAGAATTGGTCAGAATTCTTAATCTTTGAAATAGATAATCAGTAAATTGCGAAAATCTTTCAAAGATCAATTCACTTCCCCTCTTGATCTCAGCCTACATTTCTAACAAAAAATATTTGATATATCATCTTTTCAGGATTAAAAATGTCTTCATGAAGAGACATCACCTTTTTTTTTTTTGGAGAGATTTAACTTTTAGTGATGGGAAATAACACCCCATTGTAACCTTTTTGTTAAAAAATGAATTTTAAACATACAAACATATAAGATATGGAATTAAAAAGAGTTCCTAATTGTAAAAAAAAAAATAGCGTAATAATGTGCTCCATTTAAATGTATAAGTAAAAAAGAGAAAAGATTGATTAAAACTTATCTAAAGAAATGTAAAAGAAAAAATAAATAAAAAAGTATCACAATGCAATCATAAAATTGAAAAGTTATGAAAGAAGAAAAAGTAGTTATTCAAAAAATTATACCATTAAAATCTTATTATAATTTTGACTGAATTATTATAACTATCATTTATCAAATATTTGTTAGACAAATGACATCTAGAGGGGAGAATAGATGCACAAATTAAAATAGATGTCAAATTAAAAATTTATTTGTGAGTCAATAATTTGTTTGAACACAAATAAAGCGGAAGTGATAATATAATCAGGAAAAGAGAAAGAGATAAGGGAAAGAGAAGAACACACAGTGATTTATACTAGTTCGGGTATAACCAACTCTACATTCAGTTCCTAGTCAACTCTTAACACAAGAGTGACTCCCAATTCACTATCTTTCAAATTCAGTTTAAAAATTTCAATCAACTCAGCAGAAGAACCAGTAAAAAGTAAACTAATTAAAAAAACAATCACCTCCTTAGAAACTCACTAAGGATGAACACCTCCCTAGAATCCCACTAGGGATAAACACTTCCTTTGAACAAATCAAAGGATGAAAAACACCTCTTTAGAATCCCACTAAGAATGAATACCACTCTAGAATCACACTAGGAATGAAAACTTCCTTTGAACAAATCAAATGATGAAAACACCTCCTTAGAATCTCACTAAGGATGAACACTTCCCTAGAATCACACTAGAGATGAAAAACACCTCATTTTCCACCAATACACAAATGATGAAGGTAATAAAAATAAGAACAATCACACCTAGGTAATGGAGACAACAAATTGTAGAAGCCTGTAGAATGCAAATCTCCAAGAACAAGTGTGATTAACAATGAGAGCACAGAAGGCAGTAGAGAAAAGGGTTTTCTCAGAAGGTGTAAAATATCTCTATTGCCTTACTCAAAATTATTTTCTCAAAATTGATTGAATGTAAATTGTATTTTTGAATTCTGTAATTATGTGTTTTTTATTTTTCATCAAAACTTAATTAAATAGAAAAATAGCATCAGAAATTGGCCGTTGGACATTAATATTTTTTGTGAATACAAATCAGGATATATTCAAAAATATTTATTCTTTAAAACAGATATATTTTTCAAATTTGAATTGCCATAATAGATTATGTTACCAGTATAATCAATTATGACAGAGAAAATCATTTTTCCATTTCTGATGCATCATAATTGATTATGACAGTGAAAAATATCACGTTATCAATTTTATCACACTTGTGCTTTGGAGGCTTATGCATAGTATTACTTCATCAACTTGTACCTCCATATCCAGTATTCTATGACTCTATCTAGTCTTCAAGAATCATCCCGGACTTGGTTGAATCATCATCTTTATCAAAAATATATATTGGGCATGTAGGGAAATGTTTCACATTGTCACCAACGTCTTAAATTCAGTTTGTCCTTAATTCATCTTGAATGGTGTTAACTTGAATGTAGTTGACTTAAATTATCATCAATATCATCTCTTGGGAATGTAGGGACATTTCCATCAATCTTCCCCTCATTGTTTTCAATCTCCCCCTTTTTTATGATGATCAAGGAAACACTTGAAATGAATTAAAATACTTGACTCTATATAGTCAGCTCAAGATTAGAACAATATAGTATCAAGTGTCAGAGTCTCTTAATCTCCCCCTGGATATATTAATAACAAGACTCCCCCTAACTCATATGAGCAAAGACTTCTCTTAACTCCCCTGGTTTAATTTAGAGATAGGAATGAATTTCACATAGATTTTAATTCATGAAAAAATCTTTCTCTGTTTCATTGATAATCATAAAAAATATTACAAAAAAAAATCTCCCCCTGTTTCACACAGATTAATATCATCAAAATATCTCTCTGTTTCATTGATAATTATGAAAAATATTGCAATAGAAATTGAGAACAAATTTGCACATATTAGAACATAAATCAAGGTAGAGAAGATAATGCATTACAAAGTGTCATAAAGAAGAACATCATATTAAGGAGACAATATCTAGGATACCCAAGACAAATGAAGAGAGAGAAAGAGAGGGGAATAAAATGATTGTAGAGATAATGGAATGAAATGCAGTAGTTTC